CAAGGAAAGAAATGATGATGATCTTTGGCAGCCATTCCAACCGAGTAAATACAAGGAGGGAGGAATGCGAGCCCAGGCTGGGCCACCGCTCCTTCATTGCCCAGGATGAAAAGGAGCAAAGGAAAAATGTCCTCCCAGTGAGATGTACTGAAGTGTGGAATTTTCCCTCTAGGCAAGCAATAGGCATCCCGCTGTCTGAACCGTTTAGCACGGCACTGGGCTGGGCGAAGGCCGGGAGAATGTACTGAGGGGAACAAGCAGAGCAGCTGGGCCAGGAGGAGGTGACTTTGTGGGGCTTTCCAGCTCCAACTCCTTCCAGCCACGGTCCTGGGCTCAGTCCACCCTGCTACCTGCTCCCCTGCAATCAAAGCAACCCCGTAATAAGTATTGCTGGGCGACAGCAAAAATATACATTTGCTTCATCAAAATATTTCCTCCCTCCTAGAGAGGTGTGCCCCATTGCAGGGCCTCTTGGCTGCCAGATGTCTTATGTGTTACTTGGATGATGGCAGATCCAGCTGTTGTCACCAGGATGGCAGGGGCGGGGGGAGGGCAAGACATCGAAGAGTGTTTGTTGGGTCAGTTAATGATTTATAGACAGCAGGACTCCCCTAGACATCTTCTCAGACCCACCCCAGCTAGATGCTGCCTCTCCCTTACATTGTAAGTTATTTAGGGCATACCACCCCCTCTCCTGGACATAGGTGGCCACAACTTATTCCTCCTTGTGGCCCCACAGGACCCAGGCAGTGTCCTGGAAGTTAAAGCTTTCATCGGTGTTAACAGAATTGTGGGCCTTAGGCAGGGAATTTAGGGTTAGGATGTCCTGAGGCAGGCTGGGAGAGCAGTGTGTGTGTATATGTGTAAATATCTGGGTGGGAAAGACCAACCATGGGAAGGTGAACTGATCTACAATTGTGTGGTGACTTACTGAATGATGAGGCTTCGAATCCAACTACAGATGAGAAGACACAGCCAGGAGAGGAGCAGGTGAGTGTGGAAGGCCATTGCTGGTTACCTCATCCCCACTCCTCTCACAGGGCCTGAATTGGGAAGAGGGGGATACCCAGACACACCAAACTTGTGTCCGAAGGCCGATGACACCAGGTCGCAATTTTAGGTGCAAATGTCAAACATTATAGAAGGGGTGCGGTGGGTGAGGGGAGGTCGTTAACCCCAAAGGGGGAATGAACAGGGGATCCAATGGAAACTATGCATGCTTTCCAAACCACCCTGTATGCGGGCTCACTCACTGCCCACCCCGTGTTCCCCTTAAGCCCTGGGATAGTGGAGTCTGATGGCTGCCCCAGTCTTATCTTCTCCTACCCCTCTCCCCAATTATACCAAACTGACTCCCTCCAAAATACCGTGGGCTCCAGGGGCAAAGGCCCAAGGAAAATGTGGCAACTGTGCCCTTCTCCATACAAGGAACCTAAGCCCTCGGCCTCTCTGGGGCTTCTCCTAACACATGACATCACACCATGGCTTGCTTGCAGGGGTTCCACTCTGCAATGCACTAGGCTTTTCGATCAGCACGGCCGCCTGCTGGGTGAAAAGCTGCCCCGCATATGCCTCCTTCTCCCCGTCCTCCCTCCACCTGCTGCCTCTTGGATCCCCAGGCGGTTCACCCAGCGCCTGCCCTCTCGGCAGCCCTGTTCTAATGCTCAGCTAATAGTTCTGTTCCAAGCGCTGTCCAAAAGCGTCCTATAAATCAGAATCCAATTACTGGGGTGAGAAAATTGGAAGTAAGCTTAATAAGCTCAGACCCCTCCCACAGGCTGTGTCTTCCCTCTTCTCTTTTCAGTAATGAGAACGTTTTCAGGGAAAGAGCCTTTTCCCTTTAACTGATTCTGTTCTCCAGATCCCTCATCTGAATACCCCGAGGATGGATGGATAAGAGGAAGAGGCGTCTTTTCGCTAGCTCCTCTCTCCTCTTTGCTCAGACGGCAGATGGGAGGGGGAAGTAAATTATCTTTCCACTCTTAGTACTCTCCCTTTCATCATTGGTTCAACAACATTTGTTGAATTCTTATCACATACCAGGCACTGAGGATGTTATCAAATATCACTCCCCCTAGAGGGCAATTGGTGTCATAACTAGTAGGACCTTATAGGCAAGGCATGATGGGAATGGAAAAGAGGGCCAGTGGGAGGAAAGCCTGTGCCAATGGGGTTGGGTCCCACAAAGGAGCCAGGAGTCCAGTGTGGACCAACGGCCATCTGTCCAGGAGTGGCCCCACAGGAGGAGCTTCTTGGTGAAGGTGATGTCAGCTGCCTGGAGGATGGCTACGTAGAGAGTCTGTGGTTGAAGGGACTGGGAGAAGGGGGAGAAGAAGGAAGGAACCAGAGAAGCCAAAGGTCAGCACATGGCCTGAGACAGAAGGCCCGTCACCTGGATGGAGGAAGAGGGTTGCAGCATGTGGGGAGGTTGGTGGCCTTATTCCAGGGCCTTTACTTTCTACTCAAACCCTGAGTCTTCCAGCTGGACCAGTCCACCCATAGACTTCATCTGACCCACAAAAACAAGAATAAGCTGATGCCCTGTGGTTTTCAAACGTGAGCGGGCATCAGAATAATAACCTGTCGTGCTTGTCAAGATATAGGTTGCTAGTCTGCACCCCCAGGGTTTCTGATTCTGTAGTTCTGGGAACTAGTTGCATTTCTAACTAGTTCCCAAGTGATGCCAGTTGCTGTTGGGCTGCTAGTTTGTGGAACCAACTTTGAGAATTGTTGTTCTGAGTCCTTGCTATTCAAAGTGTGCTCCAAGGACCGGTGGCATCAGCGTTGCCAGGGAGCTTGTTAGAAATGCAGACCCCAGGCCCTACCCCAGATCTGCCGAATCAGAGATAAACAACATCCTCACATGATCTGTTAGCTTGCCTATTTAAGTGTGAGAAATACCTACCTGGAGCAGCGGTTCTTAACCCTGACTCGTTAGAATCACCTGGGGAGCTTAGACAAGACGTTAGCTGGTCCGAGTCTGGGTATCAGCGTTTTTAAAAAGCTGCCCTGTGGTTCTTCTAAGGAGGCCGGGATTGAAAACTGCTGAGGCTCATGCTCATGTCCACACTCCACGCCCATATGTATGGGGGTTTGACTCCACTGCTCCCATTTCTCTAGCATTGAACTCAACCTTGAAACTCTCTTCGGTCCCTCCCTGCCCACCACCACTCCGGACAACTTAGTGATCTTCCTAGTGCTCCTCCCTGTTACCTGGGGTTTGGGTGCATCTCTTGCCCCAAACTGAGCATCTTCAGTTTTCTCAGGAGAGCCCTCCCCTTCCATTCCAGGCCCTGCAGTGTCAGCTTGCTCATACCCTGTGATACTAACTACAATGGAAATGTTTTGACTATTTACTATGGAGTAAGTAAGTACTTTACATGTATTTTATTTGATCCTTACAAAAATCGCATTAGGTGGGTATCATTAATTGTTCTTTTTATCCCTATTTTTCAAAAGAGGAAGTTGCAATCCAGAGATGCCAGGCATTGGTGCCTTCCCTGAGTTAAGTCCACGGCACAGCCATGGCTGGAAACAGGGTGATCTGATCCCAGAGTCTGCGTCCTTCACCCCTGGGCTGTACTGCCTTCTGCTTGGTTCTGCCTTCAGGCATCAAAGCAGGGTGAAGTCAGTACAGAGCGGGGAGGCTGGACCCATGGAAGGATTCTGGACTTAGCTGGTGACTTCAACCTCAGGGACACAGGTTCCCTGGGAGGCAAGGGTCAGAAGTGGGAGACCCTATAGATAGGTCACCCCACAATGGGGCCCATTTGAGGGAAGAACACCAGGCTTTGCTGGCAGTCTCTGGAACTTCCAACCCCACACAAGTGATGTGGGCACAATCAGCCCTTTACCACTCAGCCTGGAGATGGCTAATCCAATTGGTGGCCTCTCACAGTGCTAGCCTGGGGCCTTGCACACAGTAGGTGCTCAATACCCTTGCCATGGCTGCCTAGTCCCAGGTGCTTGCCCTTATTCCCAATCCCCTGTCCTCTCCCCTTCCTGCTCTTTCCGATTAGGATCCATAAATCTGAAATGCTCTGAGTAACACAAGCCCAGCTCCCACAGGGCAAGGTGAGTGTCCCGAGGATGACGTATGGCTCGTACACTTTCCCTTTTTGTCTTCCCAAAGGGCATCTGGATTTCATCTAAAACCTCTCTCCTCCTCTTGCTGTGATCCCAGCAGATCACACTACTGAACAGACAGAACTCACTGGGTTTAGTTGCAGAGCCCAGGATTGGACCAGGGGAACTTAGATCTGTGGGGACAGACTAGGTTCTTCAAACCCCATGGACACTTGGCCTTTGTAAAATTCTCTCATTTCTGCTTCTCAGGTCTTAGAATAGGTGAATGCAGAAATTCATCCTGCTCGGGGTCTCCTTCGTGCCTGCCTACTCAGGGAATCCCCAAAGCCTGCCTGCCACAGGGGAGAGCATTCAGGGGCACGTTCCCCACGGCTCTCACCCAGAGGCCCCAGCTCCTTTTCTGGCCAGGAGATGTCTCTTTGCCCCTCTGGGCTTGGCACCTGGACTCTGCACAGGAGAGACACCACCAGACTGAGACCCAGTGGGGCTTCTCAGCATTCTGTCTCCTTCCTCTCCCCCGTTCTTCTATCTGTAATCTCTGCTCAGGGAAATCAATAGCCTGATATTCAAATAAAATTCTATCGGACACCAAGGGTAAGGATCAGTGCTGGGGATTTTAGAAGACTCTGACTTTACGAAGCTTTCAGGCCAGCAGCAGGGGATGTTCTAGGTAGAGTCCATCCCCTGGGTCTCTGTTTGCAAGGGACTTCCAGTCCCTGCTGATGGGGAAAGGGGCCTCCCACCCTCTCACAACAATGAGCAGCACAGACCGTGTGAATTACCACATCATATGTATACCCTCCAGCAACCAACTGGCAACAAATGCTTGGCACCGGGCACTGCACAAAGCGAGCCTGCTGTTGATGTGTCATGACTACAGGGACAGGGAGAGAGTGACAGAGAAGGAGGAATACCTCGGGTGGCGAGTGTCCGGGATGGCCCGGTTGCTGGAGATCCGCTCGCTCTCCCGCTGGTTGAAAGCATGCAGCTTATAGGGATCGTCACCCACGCGCCACTTTTTGGCATTCAGATAGCGCCGCTCGTCGAACTGGTCCCACAGGTCATCCCAGTCAGCATCCAAAATCTGTGTGACATGAACGGGAAGTCTGTGAGAATGGCTCCCGGCCCTCTACCAGCCCCTCCGTCTGTCAGTGCCCAACCGCGGAGACCAGGCTTGTTCGGGGAAGGGTTAGCTCAGAGATGAGGCCAGAGGTAGGACGTCGATAAAACGATCAGCAGCGAAAGTAAACAGAACGACCCTAAGGGCAGCGACCGTTTACTGAGCACTATACACCGGGTGCTGCACTGGGACTGTTACTCTCGTGGTCTCGTGTGTTTCTCATAGAGGTTCTGTGAGATGGATATTGCTCACATTCCCGTTATGCAGGCAAGGAGACAGCCTCACCTGGCTAAGTATCTTGCTCAATCTCCCACAATTAGGAAATGAACTTTAGTATCCGGACTCCAGAGACCATCTCTCCAGGGTAATTTGAGAACACATGACTGAAACTCCTGGCCCAGGAGATGACACATAGTAGGTCCACAATGACTGTCGTTTCCATAGGAAGGCGGTGACGACAAGTAGGCAATCCATGTAAAACGGTGGGCTACTGCCCTGGTCGGTGTAGTTCAGTGGTTAGAATGTCAGCCCATACACAAAAGGGAATCAAGCAGTCGATTCCAGGTCAAGGGCACGTACCTAGGTTACAGGTTAGATTCCCTGGTCCCATTTGGGGCTCATGTAGGAGGCAATCAATCGACATGTCTCACATCGATATTTCTCTCTCTCTCTCTCTCTCTCTCTCTCTCTCTCTCTTTCTCTCCCCTTCCTCCCTCCCTCCCTCCCTCCTTTCCACTCTCTCTAAAAAGCAATGGAAAAAATATATCCTTGGGTGAGGATTAAAAATAATAATTAAATAATTAATTAATAATAGAATGGTGTGCTACCCACTGGACAGACACCCTATGTGTCCCTTTCTTCCCCCAACCCAGGAATTTGTGATTATTATTTTTTTGGTTAATCCTCCTGGAAGATATTTCTTCTATTGATTTTTAGAGAGTGTGGAAGGGAGTGAGGGATAGAGGAGGAGAAGCAGAAGGTGGAGAAGGAGGAGGAGGAGGAAGAAAGAGAGAAACATCAGTACAAGAGGATTTTAAAAGGAGAGAGACACATCAATTAATTGCCTCCCATGTGCACTCTGACTGGGGCCGGGGATTGAACCTGCAAACCAGGTATGTGCCTTGACTGGGAATTAAACCCATGACCCTTCAGTGCACGGGCCGATGTTCTAACCACTGAGAAACACTGGCCAGGGCTGTGATTATTTTTAAGAAGCATCAATGGGGGAGCAAGTCATAACCCTCACCATAGGGGGAGACAGCACTTTAGAAGGCAGAAGGTGGTTCCTTAGTCATGACCTCATTTCATCCTCCCCCAAACCTCTGCACTGAGTCGGGAACCAAGGTTTCCACAAAGGTGACTGGCTTGTCTGAGGTTGCCCAAATGGAGACTGGCAGAGCCCACAGCGAGCTCATTCTTCCCTGCCCTCCAGTGCATTTGCATAGCGGAGGAAGAGGGATCTGCCCCACCCACACCAGCTCCGCAGCCAACAGAGCCTTTCTGCAAAGCCAGCAGGAGGTGTGGGCTTCAGGGCCTCGGAAGCTGCATGTCAACCACTAGCTCTGTCACCCCGAGGTGACAGCCCATCGGTATCCAACCAAGCTCAGATCTTTCAGGCGCATCAAAGTCAAAAGAACGCTGAGTCTCTGGGGAGAACCCATTGACCAGGGTCTGAACTGGAATCTAGGGGGGCGGGGAGGAGCGCTGGGGCCCTGGGTCTGGCATCGTACCTAGGATGAGATGCTCATTTAGGTGCTACAGAGCCTAGCTGCTGTGCAAGTATCCAAAGCTGCCCAGGTACCGCCCATCCCACACCGATCAGGATGCCCTTCTTCACTGGGGGAACCTGACAGGAGGCCCAGAGCAGGTGCACAGACGGCAGTGCAGGCGCCTGGCCCACATGTGGCAGGTGAGGGGCCGCTTGCCAGTGTGCACATGTACCTCGGGCGCCACTCGATCTTATCTGGTAATTGATCTCTCTTTCTCTCGTTATCTCCTTTTCAAACAGCATTCTCCTGCTAATAGCACAAAATGAAGCTTTAGAAATCAGTGATTTTTATCCAATAATTGAATTTATTAATGTCTTGTGATACTGTTGCTACAGAGGAGGAACTGGGGCGTGTGTGTGAAACTCCAGAGCCTGTGCTGTGCAATGTCACAGCCTGACAGCTGTCACCTGTGCTTGGAACTTCACCGCAGGGCGTTCCGACCTCCCAGTTTCCAGTCATGGACCACGGGGCCCTGAACCGCCTCCTGCTGGCTCATCTCTGATGTAATTCACTGCCATTCTCTCATATGCTGCAAGGCCCCACCGTGCTCTGTGCTCCGAGGGGCGATGAGAGATGGGAGGCCCCGGCCCTCGAGGGGGTTGCTGGGTTGCAGACATGCACGAAGACGCCCCTAACGCCTCTACCAGGCATGAGCAAATGGGAAGGGCTTTCTGGAAGAAGTGTCAAGTGAGTTAGAGCTGGAAGGCTGGGCAGGAATTTTACTCTGTGTAAGGGGAGTCGGGGAGGGAAATACATGTGCAGTAAAAATCCAGATACAAGGCAGGGAGGCCTGGAGGAGGAAAATCTGCTCAGGGAATGGCAGCTCAGGAATGGGGAGGCCAGAGCGGGACGGCAAAGAGCAGGAGTGAAAGAAAACTCCAGAACTCAGCCCTGTCTGAAGCAGTTCAGGGGAAAATGTCTCCGGCCACATGTGGGATGGAGTGGGGGGAAGGGAGCTACCGCAGGAGGCCAACTGGGAGGTGACCTCAGTTAACTCACCTGGTGGGAAGGGCAGCCTGAAGGGGGGCCCTGCTGGGGCCCAGATGGATGGAACAGCGTCAGCGAGAGTAGCAGGTGGAGAGGGCAGGCAGCCAACCTCTTGGCCTCATCCCCTGCTCTCTGTTCCCACTAGACCAGGCCCAGGGCCAAGAGGGCATGAGGCTGGGTGATCTGCTCAGCCTGGCAATCGCCACCCTCGGGCTGTTAAGCCTCCTTGGCAGGATCTGCCTCCTTGGAGATGCTGCCATGAGAACTCAGTGGGGTTCTGGCCCCTAGAGAGCCTAGAGCCAGAGCCGCAGCCAAGCTGGCAAGAGAGATGGCCTGAGCAGTCAGGACTAAGCTATCCTGGGGGCGGGGGGGGGGGGGGCTGCTCCCTCAAATGGTCACATGTACAGAGCTGGCCCACACTCTTCTGCTCTGAGATCCACTGACTGGGGGGAGGGGGCGAGGGGGACGCGCTGCAGGGAGAACTTCCTATCACGATACCTGGACATAGTAAATAATGGTGAACCTGTGTTTAAAATTAAACCACTACCACTTGAATGGCAATTTCTGTTTTTGTTTTTTAATATATTTTTATTGATTTCATAGAAAAGGGAGAGGGAGAGGGAGAGAGAAACATCAATGATGAGAGAGAATCACTGATCAGCTGCCTCCTGCATGTCCCACACTGGGGACTGAGCCCACAACCCAGGCATATGCCCTCACTGGGAATCGAACCGTGACCTTCTGGTTAATAGGTCGATGCTCAACCACTGAGCCACGCCGGCCAGGCAGCAATTTCTGTTTTACAAGCAGCTTGCACAACTGTCACAGAATCCGCACACAAGCCCATTTGTGCAGGGAGGGATCGGCTTTAGAAGTTTGGTGGCTTGCCCAAGCTTGATAGCTAGTGAGTGAAGGGACAGCTGATCGAATCCTCCCCGGAGCATCCTAGGGCCATGGTCTGCTCTGTCTTCTCATGGACAGAAACGAGGGGCATCTTCTCTGCTGAGGGTGAGTGGGCAGAGAACGCCCCACTCCCCGAGGGTCAGTTGGGGTCATGCCCACAGAAAAGGCCAGCCACTCTCTTCTTGCTTGCCCCCCAAATAGACTTGCTGTGGGCCTCCTGGGACTTCTGAGGGGGCACTGACTCCCCAGGTACTTCCAGTACAGTGTGGGGTTAGCTTCCAAGCTCCACAGGTCAAGGCCCCATGACCAGCATCTGAGGGTGCAGAGAGAGTGCAGTACATTGTAGCCACTTGCTTCCTGTCTCACGGGACCATCCAGGAAAGCACTCAAATGGCACTTACCCCTTCACAAACCTTCCCAGCGTGAGAAGGGATCCTCCTCTGGGAAATGAGCACACACTCCTGCCCCAGCACTGTGCCCGCTCCCGGGCGGCCCTCACCACCAGCCATGCCCCGGAGCAAGCCCCCACTTAGCTTTCTAACCATAATTTATTCATTCTAGAGTTGGGGGAGGGGGACTTGCCAGACAATAAGTAGATGCCACAAATGGAAAACAACCCTTTAAATAGAAAATATCTGATGAAGTCAGCCAAACCCCTGGCCAAGATCGCAGCTTAAACAACTTGGCACCCAAAACAAAAGCTCAGAAGCACATCTGTTAAGTTGCTTCATTTCTTTGCTCCCACCATGCTTCCAAAAGAAATCTCGACTCCCCTTTCCTCCCCCCTTTCCCGGCCTGTTTTCTCTCACTCTGGTTTCAAGCTGATATTTGGCTCAGGACACATGGGTGTAAGGCTGCCCTTCTGTTCGGTTCTGAAGTGCCTCCATTTCCCACTACTTCCATTCCCTCCCCTCCCCCCTTTCCCGAGCTGGGTACTACCAGTTCTCCTGTATTGTCCCAATTCTCTCCCTTTGCATCTTTAAAACAAGAACATCTCTATCTATTCATAAGGCTTCGGTCCTATACTGACCTGTGCGGATCCTGAATAAAACTTCTCAAACTTGCCCACTAATAAAACAGCTCACACCTAGGGGTTCCTATCACGTGTCACAAATATTTACATTTAATCCCCACCATCACAGATGTCGACAGCACCGTCCCCATTTTATAAATGGGAGAACTGAGGCACAGAGAGACTGAGTAACTTGCCCAGTGTCACCGAGGAAGTGCGTGCTGGAGCTGGGATTTGAACTCTGGCAGCCCGGCTCCAGCTCCCGTGCTCTCAACCACGAGGTGGCACTGCCT